TGCATTTTTGTGGACCATCTTTTTTACTTCTCGTCCAACATCCGCCTGTATAGGAGGACACGCCCGGCCTAAACCTAGACGCTGTGTTGCTGGACTTCGGCGTTGTGCTTTGTTTCTCGTTTTGGCGGGGAGATGCAGGAAGACCCGTAGAGCAAGACGAAAACAGAACGAAGAACGACGTTCCAGCCCTGGGCCGATGCCTCCGCCCTCGGAGAGCTCCTTTCCCCCCCCCCCCTGTCGCTCCCCCTCGCTGCCCTCTCCTCTCTCCCTCACCTCCCCTCCCTCCCGGGGGTGGGGCCCGGCGCTCCGCAGCGGAAGGCGAGGGGCCCGAGGGGCGCAGGCGAGGGCCCGAGGGCGTGGAGGCCGCCGAGAGGGGCGGAGGACCGCAGCAGCCCCCCCCCCTTCCGGAGGACATCAACACCTCCCAGGACCGGTTCGCCGACAGCTTCGACCCCGAGAACGAGGACGGGCCCGCGCTCCCCCCCGCCCCCCCCCCTGGCGGAGCGGAGCCGGGGCCCTCGGGCGGGCCGCCGGTGGAGGCCCCGAGGCACCGAGAGCGCTGTGGAGTCGCCCCGGCGTGCTTCTCCTCGGGGCTGGTCTCCGGGGTCCGTGAGTCCAAGCCTCGGGCCGAGCGAGAGGAGGAGGAGGAGGAGGAGGAGGAGGAGAGGAGGAGGCGGAGGAGGAGGAGAAGGAGGGGAGGAGGAGGAGGAGGAGGAGGAGGAGGAGGAGGATCGTGCCGAACGAAAGGGGGGCATTGGGAACGGGGGGGTTACGAAACCTGCTGCGTGCAGCTGGTGTCGGCCCCGCCGCCGGGCCCCTTCCTCGGTGCATGGGCGCCTCCCGGCGCCGGGAGGCGCTGGGAGAAGCAGCTACGTGAGCTGATTCTCACCCCCCCCTTTTGCTTGCTATCCCTCCCGCCCTGTCGCCCGGCCCGAAGGCCGTGGCGAGGCGTCCCAGCTTGCAAATATGGGCCCACCATCTGCGCGAGACGCTCTTGAAGCATTTCCGGCTGAGATCGTCCTGTGTTAGTACATCGGGCTCATGTTCTAAGGGTATTGTTTCTGTTCTGGGAACATGTTTGAGTTCTGAGTACGTTCTGTGGTAGGACTACAGGAATGCCAGGACGGTCGGCCCTTGCTCAATCATTGGGCCCCCGCGGGACCATCGAAAAGGGAGCCTCGGCCAAAAGTTACAGAACGAACAAGCAACACACAGACACACGCATACACAGACACACGCACACACACAGACACACGCGCACGCACACGCACACAAACGCACGCACGCACACCCACACCCACACCCACACCCACACCCACACCCACACCCACACCCACACCCACACCCACACCCACCCCCACACCCACACCCACACCACACCCACACCCACACACGCACCACGCACACGCACACGCACTCGCACACGCACACGCACACGCACAAACAAACACCACACACAACACAACACCACACACACAACACCACACATCACACACACACATCGAGGGACAGTACTGGCTATGGGCCGGGTGTTGCGCTTCCGTCGGAGCCGAGGGAGGGCCCCTATGGGTTATTATTGGTGTTGGTGCGAGCGGGGACCTCCATCCGACAACACGCACCCAGAGCCCCCTTCCGCGTCCCCCCCCATGGGTCTGGGCGTGTGCTGCTCGTTCCTCCAAGAATGCCCCAAGGGAACGGGCCGCGGAGTGCGCAAGTCGCACCGTCGGATGCCTCTGGGGAGGCGTCCGCGTCGCACGACCCCCCACTCGGCTCCAGGGACGACTGTGCAGAGAGGAGGCCCGCCGAGCGCGCACTCCTCGAGCAGAGGGGGCGGGGGGGGACGGCGGCCCTGTCTAGCAGGCGCTCGAGGACCCTCTGGCGGCGCCTCCCGCGACGCCCCTGGCGCGCTCCGGGGGCCCAGCGCCGATCCGAGGATTCCGCGCGGACCTCCGAGGGTTCGGATGCAGCTTTTTTCGCTAACTACCCAGACCTCCAGCGTATTGAAAAAACCAAGACGGAGGTTCTGCTCGATTTTCGGCCTCCAGCGGCCCTCGCCAGGCCCCGGGATCGTCGAAAAACGACTCAGGATGACAAGCCGGTCCTGGGGAATGGGTCGAGACTTCCGGGGGCCCCGTGCTGGGCCCCGTGCTGAAGAAATCACGACATCGGATCTCTGCAGAACCCTGGGCTCCTTCTTTATAAGGGCTTCTCCTCCAACGTCCTCGCCGCCGCCGCCGTGCTGAGCCCCCGGCGGCGGGCTTCGACGCTCTGGCGAGGGTCGGGCCGCGCGGGCGAGCCGCCCTGGCGCGGCGCGCGGCCCAGGCGCGGTGCTGCCGCTGATTCTGGCATGCTTGCGGATCCTGGCTCCCGTCTGGCTGCATCAGCAGCAAGCACGCCCTCGCCCTGCATTTCGAACCTGCAGTGGCGGTCCATGCCAAGAAACACCCTGCTTGCCCCCAGGGTGCCCTGGGTCTCTCGGGCTTCGATGGCTGTGCGATGGAAGGCGCGACGCGCCCTTGCCAAAATCCTTGGACATTCTGGGGTCTCAGTGCTGGGCTTCCTGTGGAAGGTTTCTTGTGGTCGGGCCCCTACTGTATCCAAGGGCTCCTCCCCAGAGATCCGATGCCGTGATTTTTTGAATACGGGGTCCCCTGAAGTCTCGACCCATTCCCCAGGTCCGGCGTTCCATCCTGAATCGTTTTTTGACGGTCCTGGGGCCCGGCGAGGGCCGCTGCTGGCCGAACATCGAGCAAAACCCCCGTCTTGATTTTTTCAACACGCTGGAGGTCTGGGTCCTCCAACACCCTCGCCGCCGCCGCGCCGAGCTGGCGGCGGCGGACTTCTCCGCTCGGGCGGTGGGCCGCGCACAGCGCGGGCTAGCGAGCCGCCGTGGCGCGGCGTGCGGCCCAGGCGAGGTGCTGCCGCTGATTCCTCTGGCGTGCCTGCGGCTCTTGGCTCCTGTCTTGGGGGAGCGCGAAGTTGGGATGCCATTCCTGGGAGGTCAAATTCTGATTTTGCACTGGTCCGAAGTCCGGCTTAATCCGGCTTAATCCCGCGTGATCCCCCTTAATTCCGCTTGATCCCGCTTAATCCAGCTTAATCCCGCTTCATCCGAGGCCCACTCCGGCGTGATAGCTCCCAAATGGGGCTTAATCCTTCTTAATCTTTCCGACGAAAACCTCTCAGCAGTTGCCTCCTAAGCGAAGATGGATATAGACATAACAAAACTCGGAGGTCCGCGCGGGTTTCTCGGATCGGCGCTGGACCCCGCTCCCTAGGGCGCGGAGCGCGCCAGGGGCGGCGCCGGAGGGCGGCGCCGGAGGCGCCGCCAGGGGGGGGGCCACAGCGCTGATCCGAGGAACCCGCGCGGACCTCTGAGTTTTTTATGCTTACGCCATTCTTCGCCCCCCCATATATCTGGCTGCGTCGGCAAGGAACACGCCCTCGCCGTGTGCTTCGAGCCTCTCCCGTCGCCCCCCCAGACATGCGACGTCCGGATTTTTTCAGGACGGCGTCCCAGGAAGTCCCGACCCTTTCCCAAGGACCCGTTTTTCGTCCCGAGTCGTTTTTTGACGGTCCCGAGGCCCGGCGAGCGCCCCCCAGGGGCCGAAAATAGTGGCAAACTTGCCGTCCTGATTTTTTTGCGACGCGATCACGTATGGGGAGCCTTCCCCCCTCCCCCTGACCCCCCCTTCTGCGCGGGGGCGACCACATCCTCCAGCCTCGCCAGCCTGGCCTCCCTGACCCCCTTGGCCGGCCCTCGAGCCTCGGAGCTCCTCGGGGCGCCGCGA